AACAATTCCAAACACAGTGTCAGCAAAAAAGGGTGATCCAAAAGAGAAGTCAAAACGAACAGACAAACAGGTCATACACGTGGCAAAAGGCAGTGATAAAAACGCTCAGTAAGGCAGGATAAACTGTCAATACTTTGCGAGGTAGCCATGTGGTGGCCAGGTTAATATGGCCACCAAACAGGAAGTGATTGCAGAGGGAGCAGGGGGAGTGCTAACAGCCAATACTCGGGCGAGGGCTCCCTCTGCTGGTGTGGTGTTACAGGGCAATGCAGAGTATGGTGGTTTGTTCACAAATTTCAACAGACTGTGAGGAGATTGAGTGTCATATTAGTCATATTTAGTTTAATGTGTTTTCTTCATATTAAATTTCACAATTTCACATTTTTGGTCATCCCCACACTTATGGTCACATTTTTTATTTTATTTTTGATCATTTCTTTCATGTTTCGCAGATTATATCTTTTCATTTGCTGTGTTGTTTTAATATTGTCTTTATGTTGATTTCTGTCATTACAGTTATAAATATAACACTGCAGGAGGGATGCACCGTAAGTTGAATTTCTGAAATTGAAGTTTTAGAGTTGGACTCACAGCTTCTATCAATAATAGTTCAAAGAGCATTGCAATAAGATTTGCATTGCGGATATTTGAAACATGAATGTGCTTTTCTCTTTATTGCCAGATTTTGTTTATTAATATTGCAAAACATGATTCAAATCACAGAGTCTGTTCTGTGATTTTAGAGTCAGAGTTCTGGAGGATGTTTTCAAAATCTTCTTGAGCAGATCGAGAACATTACAGCTCAAGTGCTTCCTTTGGATGTAAGTCTTCAAGAAAAAAAAAAAAACGATTAAAATAAGCAAGTCAAAATTTGTTACATAATTATTGACAGATTAGTGCTGTCTTATTGTCTCTGTTGACATTTTCATGTACAGTAACTGTATTTGTCTGATCAATGAATTAGACTGTGAAGAACATTTTGACTTTGGCCTTCAATGCTTCAGAGAAGATCTCTGAGTCATCATCAGCAAACCCAGCTGAACTAGCCTCCAATGGAAACCGTGTGTTAAAAACCAGTGAGAAACTTATTTCCACATTAGTGAAGCAGACGGATACAAGTGACAGCGTCAGTTTTACTCTTCCTGCTGTAGGTAAGTAAAGACAGTTACTATTGCTGGTGAACCTGAGATATAATCTACAGTAATGCCTTGTTCAGTTGTTTTTATCACCCCTGTGTGCTGTGGGTAATTTACTCAAAAATCATGTGTTGCAACTAACTCACGACAATTCACACCAAGCTTTTATACATGCATATTCTTCAACAATTATTTGGTGTCAGTCAGTGTTGAGTGTAACGCGTAATGTATGATTGTATGTATGCGTTACTGAAATAAATTACTTATCCGCTGAAAAAAAGTAAAGCAGGCCTAAGCTATTCTGTTCATTTTTAGGTAATTACAGTTAGTTAGAATGTACTTGCGTTACATACTGTAAATAATTTCAACAGTTCTGTTGGCTATGAATCAATATTTAATTTAATTTAAAATCTAAATTGAACATCTGAAGGTATATAATTGAATGTGACCAGAAAAAAGAGCCACATCCCAGTGGGCACCTTGATGTTGAAAAGACTTCAAATTGACATTAAAACATTGACGTCAAAAATCTAAATCAAACTTACATCAAAAACTTCATGTCCTTTTCACATCCACTCACTGATGTTCTTTCGACCACCAAAATAATGACACAAAAGCAATGCAGTGAAAGATAATTTTATTCAGTAAACTTGAAATCAATAATGCAAATGTAAATTGAAAAAGAAACTCCCCTATTCTGATTGCGAACAAAAATCAATAGTCCATATCTCGATCTGAATTAGATTAGCTTTGTAGCGCTACTTCCTGATTGTTTAAGGCAAATTCCGTGACATTACACATTACACAGCGAATTCTGGTTTTATGCTTGGATTCTACGGTTCCTTCTGCGTTGTCCACATCACAGAAATCATTGGGCTGTAGATATATGGACAGTGCAGCTGCGAAACGAGTTTTAATTGCAAAATGGAGTACAACTACCAAGTGAAATAGCGGTGTGCCATGGATTAAGCTCTTACACAAACAAGCGGTTTCATGAGATGTCAACACATGTACCCACATGAGCTGGACATGAGGTCACATTTAATTTTAGGCTCCCCCTTCACTAGCATAGCGCCATCTACAGATGTGGTGTTAAACAGCAGAGAAAGCTTTGTCACTGGGCATTACAAAGGTATAGTGTGGATATGAAGTGGACATCAAGTTTCTGACGTCGGTTTTGATTTGGATATTTGATCTGTGTTTTGACATCAATGTTTGATGTCAATTTGATGTCTTCTCAAGATCAGGGATGGTGGTCGAATGGACATCACTGTGTGGATGTCAAATGGACATCACGTTTTTCACGTCAGTCTGATTTGGATATTTGACCTGTTTTTTGATGTCAATGTTTGAAGTCAATTTCAGGTCTTTTGAATATCATTTGCCCACTGGGACACGTTTCAAAAGGAGATGAGGCAAATGGATGCTGTTTGAGGCTCAAACACACAAATAATTTATGTCAATGTGATGTCCATATGACATCCATTTGACATCTAAACCATGACATTGATTTGATGTAAACTGAATGTCAAACACATTGGCCTGCATATACATTAAACCAATTTCAGTGTGAGTTAATAACTTCCTATTTTCACCCAATTACCACTGGAAGAAATTGCTATCCAAACTGACCTTAAAATGATGTTATACAGCATCTTGATCAAGTCTTGACTATCATTTGACGTCAAATTGATATCAAGGTATATTGGTGCAGAGCCAGTGGTTGTCTTGTAGGCAAACATCAGTACCTTGAATTTGATGTGAGCAGCTATTGGCAGCCGGTGGAAACTGATGAAGAGAGGTGTGATGTGGGCTTTCTTCGGCTCGTTGAAGACCACTCTCGCTGCTGCATTCTGGATCAGTTGCAGAGGCTTGATAGTACATGCGGGAAGACCTGTCAAGAGGGCATTACAATAGTCCAGTCTGGAGAGAACCGTGGGGGGGGGATGTGGAGTGTATATAGCCTAATAAAAAAATAATAATAAAAAATAAAATATATATATATATGTTTAGGCTATTATATATTATAATAACATTATATAGTGGTTCAACGCATTATATTGTTTTTTTTTTGAGCCACAGATCGGACTACTTTTTCGGATAAGCAAGAAAAAAAATATTTAAAGCACAGAGAATGACAATGCCGTGAAGGGTTTTTGACATAGGCTAATTTTATGTGTATGTATACGCAACTCTGTATTTCCGCGCTGTCTGAAACACATCTCTATGCTTGTGCACGCTTTGATTGTGTGCGAGAACAGCGCGTGAGTAACAAATTGAGTTCTCTTTCGTTTCTTCTTCTTGTAGTTTAAAATTGCTTGTACGTGTAAATTGGCAAATTAATCTGCGAATCACGTGCGTGCCGAATGGTAGGGTCTCATCCGTAGGCTACGTATTACGGAACAACTGCGATCCATTTAACTCCTAATATGTGACAGATCAGAGCAAGCAGCTTTCATTTACTTATTTAAAATGAAATTGTCAAATTTCTACTCCATATCAATTGCATACAATGAAAATACAGAATAATTAGAACAATCATTAACATAAATAAATAACAGAGTGTCATATCTATTTTTCCCAGAACGTTCTTGCGACCCGGTAGCAATTCTTCCACGGCCCGGTAGTGGGTCGTGACCCAGTGGTTGGGGACCTCTGCCTTACACCATTAAAAAAAGAAAAAAAAATTGGGCTAAAAAATTAGTTTGAAGGGGAATTCAGTTTGGTTCTGGATTCCTAATTTGATTTTCAAGAGATGTGGGAATTTACAATTTTTGCATTCTTGTGAATTTAAGTTCACAAGGTGCCCTTTCAAACTTCCACAAGCAAGCTCTAGACTCATAGAAGCTAATATTTAAACAATTTTCATAATTTTGTTGTTTTCAGTATATGTCACAGCAGTATCCATCTGTTATTTTAATGAGAGAAACTGGTAGCCAATCACAGTAGTGGGCGTTTACTTGCGAGTCTTGAATGCGCCCCTCCTATAAAAAACAGACTGTTCTGCAGAGAGGCTCAAAAACAGGATATAAAAATGTTTGATGTAAAATCACACTAACATTATAAGTGAACCTCAGAACATTATAAAATAATAATAATAATAAATGCAGTTAATGACCCCTTTAATTGAAAGGAGTACAAACACATTTCTATCGGTCATAACTTCTGGAGAACAAATATGGCAGATGGTGGACAAAGATGATGATTACACAAGTTAACGTGTTAGGGTTAACTGTTATTTTACTTAAACTTATATGCATAGCATACTAGATGGGCTTTTTCTAAACTATATTGCCAAACTGAAAGTAAAGGGAAATATGATATACATACAGATATATAGGCAACGTTTTATTACATTTGTTATATTGTACTTACTTGTACTTGTTGTATATATTGTACTTGCTTTGAAAATTTTAGTTTACAGCTTGATACATGTGATGTTTAATTTTTCTTAAGCTTTTGCGTTATTTAGATGTTTTGCAGAGTAATTTAGTTTGTTAACTAAAGAAGGTTAAATCTGATAAAAGCATTACAATTGTTTTAATTAAGCTAAAAGGCTAAACTGTTCCATGTTTCATGTCAAATGCGTCTTGGTGATTTTATGAAGTACAGAAGTTAGTAACGATTTGAGTAAATAAGTTACTTAGTGAATAATTAAATTACTTTTCAGAAAGAGTAATTAGAAAAGTAATTTAAATACTACATTGATGCTGTAATTAGTAATTCATTACTAATGCTGTAATTAGTAATTATTATTATTTAAACTTAAACTTACCCTTTGTGCAGATTGACTTTGCTATTAACATTGTAAACAAAAATTAAACAAAAATTTAAAAGTCCATAACTGCATGTTTTCTAAACCAGAGGGTCAAGTCTTCATGGTTGGACCAAATGTCACCGTAGATAAAATCCCTCGACTCGACACGACAAATTCTTCTGTGGACATCGATCTCATTGGGATCGCCAAGAATAACAATGAAAGTATGTCAAATATTTTGGTGTGATTTAAAAAAGAAATCCTAAAAAGGGACTTCAGAGCATTACTACTAAACCACATTTACATAATGTTTTAGTATTGCATTTCTGTTTCTGTCTCACAGGATCAGCTGCTGTGGCTTTCATGAGCTACAACACGATGGAGAATCTACTGAAGCCAGACTTCTTCAACACATCAAAAGACATGGTTAACACCATGATGTCTACTGTGATCTCAGCTACTCTTCCCAAAACCACCAACACTAAACTCACCAAACCAGTCAACTTCACCCTCAAACACATCAGAGTGAGAGACTCAAATGTGCTTTTGTTTTATCAGAGCACTGATGAACATCTGAAAACATCTAATATTCAGTGTTCTGATATTTTCTTCTTGTTTTTGCAGGAGTTTGATCCCAGTGGTTCTCTGTCCTGTGTGTACTGGAATATCAGCGAGTGGATTGTAGATGGTTGTTCTGTTTTAAAGACCAACAGCAGCTACACTGTGTGTTCCTGTGATCATCTGTCGACATTCGCTCTCATCATGCAAACCAGCCGTCAGTCAGAGGTACCGAATATTTCTAGTGAACACTGAAGAACAGCACAGATTTGGCACTCATGTTCTCTCATGTTTTCTCAGAGCGACTCACTGATGGAGCTGTTGAATTTGGTGTGTGTGATCGTGGGGCTGGTGTTCTTCAGTTTGGCCCTGTTGACCTTTGCCCTTTGTCAGTGGAGTCCTGGAGTGAATAATGTGGCTCGAATCAACATCTGCATCAGTCTTCTGTTGGCTCACCTTCTGTTTCTGCTCACACAGCAGTTCCTGAGCCTCATACGGCGTCAGCAGGTGAGAATGATGAAGGAGCCCTACAGCTCAGCACAGCCTCACTGAGAATCATCATAACCGTCTCTCATGGTCTCCAGGTGTTGTGTGCCGTGATCTCAGGCCTTCTGCACTTCCTCTTTCTCTCCGGCTTTGTGTGGATGTTCATTGAAGCTGTGCTGCTCTTCATCTGTGTGAAGAACCTATCACAGATCAGCTCCAAAAAGAGGGAGGTGCTTAGCAGTGGATTCCTGTGTGTGATTGGATATGTGGTTGCTCTGGTTGTGGTGTGTGTGTCTGTCGGTCTGGTTCCTGAAGACTACGGCAGCGAACAGTGAGTTGTTGTTTTAAGTTAATTTGGTTAGAAAGAAAGAAATTAGTTTGGGGATTTTGTGGCATTTCAACTATCCGATAAAAACTCTGACACAGGCTGTATTAATGTCATGCACAAGATTAAAATCTGTAATATTTCACCAGACAAATTCATTCGGTTATTTTGCATCCCCCCCCCCCATACAGCTGCTGGATTAAAATGGATAAAGGCTTCATCTGGAGTTTTCTGGGTCCTGTTTGCGTCATACTAGCAGTAAATGCATTTCTTATTTCTAAAGACTTTGATTCATTCTAAAAGGAAAACAAGGTGATTAATTACTCTTCTACTTTGCAGTTGAACATGATTCTTTTCATCAAGATCGTCATCAGTCTGAACTCAACTCTCAAAACTCTCAACGCTGAAGTTTCACAGATAAAACAAACCAAGTAACATTATGATTTAATCACTCTATAGAAAACCACATTTACAGTCAGTAAAGACACAGGAAATATCTCTCTCTTTCTCTGCAGGATCATGGCGTTTAAAACACTGGCTCAGTTTGTGGTTCTTGGTTGCTCCTGGATTCTGGGTTTCTTCACTGATGTCAGTAAGGTGCTGGAGATCCTCTTCCTGATCTTGAACTCCCAGCAGGGAACCTTCATCTTCCTGATCTACTGTGTCTTCAATAATGAGGTCAGACATTTACTCAATTTGCATCTGAATTCTGGATATGAAGTAATATTACAGTTGTTTTTAATGGAAGTTCTGTTCTTATTTTGGCAATCTGTGATTTCAGTGAGGAACGTCAGAGGGAGTTATTTAATATGTTAGACCCCGATCACACAGAACGAGTTTTTCAGGTTTGAAAAAGCGAGGCGCACCGCACTGCCTTTTTTAATTTAGAAAAGAGCAGTGCACTGCAGTTTTTTAAAATGTTGCTAGGCAACCATCAAATCAGCTGTCCTGTCAGTCTAATCAAGGATTATAGCATGAGCGCTCTAGAAACTTTGGTTTGCTGTTAAGTAAACTGTCATATTAGCAGAAACGTAAAAAAAAAATGGACAAGCAGAGGGCGCTTGCTCTGACCTTGATCGAGGGTGAGAGGTGTACAAACACGCAGGAGACAAGTTTATCCTCCATTACAGTCTCCGGACGTTCTAAGCAAATGTAAACTTCGGTCACCACAACGGAAGGCCTGCCTCTCCATTCATTTGATTGGACAATGGAAAAATGACTTTGCATGCTTTTCCGCTCAGAGTTGATTTTTTAAAATCTTCAGGTTCTCAGAGCGCTCCTACAAAAGCGCGAGGCGTTCGGGGCGCATAAACAGCATACAAAACGCTCACTGCCAATAGAAAACAATTTAAAAAAGGTGCCTCTCACTGCAAAAAACCCATTCTGTGTTAACGGGTCCTTAGGGGCAATTCACACACAACACGTCTTTGCGTATAAAGCAAGTACAGGAACTTGCTACTGCCAGTGCATATGGCGATACGGTGCCATGAGTATTTAAGACATACTGCTGCTGCACAAATTGCATATAAAATAACCCCGTAGCAGATCTATACAGGTGGAGCTGGGGAAGGTGGAGGGTTTCAGAGAACTCTGAAAGCGCGCTGCAGGAATCTCAAGTGAATGCTAGCCAGCCATATAGTAAAAAAAAAATGGACAAGCAGAGGGCGCTTGCTCTGACCTTGATCGAGGGTGAGAGGTGTACAAACACGCAGGAGACAAGTTTATCCTCCATTACAGTCTCCGGACGTTCTAAGCAACTGTAAACTTCGGTCACCACAACGGAAGGCCTGCCTCTCCATTCATTTGATTGGACAATGGATAAAATGACTTTGCATGCTTTTCCGCTCAGAGTTGATTTTTTAAAATCTTCAGGTTCTCAGAGCGCTCCTACAAAAGCGCGAGGCGTTCGGGGCGCATAAACAGCATACAAAACGCTCACTGCCAATAGAAAACAATTTAAAAAAGGTGCCTCTCACTGCAAAAAACCCATTCTGTGTTAACGGGTCCTTAGGGGCAATTCACACACAACACGTCTTTGCGTATAAAGCAAGTACAGGAACTTGCTACTGCCAGTGCATATGGCGATACGGTGCCATGAGTATTTAAGACATACTGCTGCTGCACAAATAGCATATAAAATAACCCCGTAGCAGATCTATACAGGTGGAGCTGGGGAAGGTGGAGGGTTTCAGAGAACTCTGAAAGCGCGCTGCAGGAATCTCAAGTTAATGCTAGCCACCCATATAAATGCAAGGCAGTAAGCTCATTGGCTGCATATGCAGCATGAACCAATCAGCTTGTGCCAAGTCGTTTAACTCTCTGAATATCAGTTATGTTAACACCCCGTCAGAATGCGCCATCTAGAGTTTCATGACTGAACTATATATTTACAGGTTTTGACGTGGAAAAAAATAAAATAATTGCACTGGGTATAATTCAGGGTATCCGGACACAGCCACTATGAGCGCCTCCTTTGACATTGATGAGCGGCGCTGCGTGTAAAAGTTGAAATTCTTTTAACTTGAAACGGCGTCTTAAAAATACGGTGCTCATGTGCGAGGCGCTGCAAAAGACGCGAGCGCAATGGTCATGCACGTCTGTCAAGCATGTGTTTACATAGAAAAACAATGGAAAAGTAGCGCATTGGAATGGGAAAACGCGTTCTGTGTGAACGGCTCCTTACTCTTCCATTTTCTTTCCTGTGATGGAATATTCAAATGAGCCAAACCTATTCAAACTCCAACTGTCAAAAATGTACATTTAAACAGACAAAGAATGCCAGTAGGCACGTTTCCATTACAGATTTGCGAAAAACTTTTTAAAGGCGCGTTTGTTTCTTCTGCCTTGATCCGAACCATTTGATTGCAGACTGTAAGGCTTGGAAACAGAAAAGAGTGGCTTCCAAGCCCAAAAATGTAGCACTGGTACATACCTTGCGTAATGCGAGCTCTCTTAGTGAAGGGAGTTATCAGCCTTTCTTATTTGAAGGCACAGTTTCTCTATCTCCCGATTCTATCGTTAAATCAATAACAATCTTGCGTGACACGGGTGCAGCCCAGTCCTTCATATCGGCAGACGTCTTGCCTTTTTCGGCTGACTCGTTTACCGGTAACGACATTTTAATTAGTGGAATTAATATGCACTGTGCGAATGTGCCACTTCACAAGGTGTATCTGAAGTCTGACATTGTGAGCGGCCCGGTCAGCTTAGCTGTGCGCCCACAGTTACCTGTTGAGGGGGTTGATCTGATTCTGGCATTTGCATAGTAGAGGGCCGTTCACACAGAACGCGTCTTTGCATCTAAAAACGTGAGACACAGCACTTAAGAATAGTTTTTTAAAAAGCGCAGTGCAGAATGCCTTCTCTGCCATGTTGCCATCAAAAAAAAACATTTTCCATGCCAACTTGCTACTGTAAACAAAAGCTCGCTCGCAACACTTGCCCCGCCTCCGGGGTCTTCTGATTGGGCCACTGTTTTGGAACTAACTTTGATGAGTGGCGCTGTGTGTAAAAGTTGAAATTCTTTTAACTTGAAACGGCGTCTTAAAAACGCGGTGCTCATGTGCGAGGCGCTGCAAAAGACGCGAGCGCAATGGTCATGCACGTCTGTCAAGCATGTGTTTACATAGAAAAACAATGGAAAAGTAGCGCATTGGAATGGGAAAACGCGTTCTGTGTGAACGGCTCCTTACTCTTCCATTTTCTTTCCTGTGATGGAATATTCAAATGAGCCAAACCTATTCAAACTCCAACTGTCAAAAATGTACATTTAAACAGACAAAGAATGCCAGTAGGCACGTTTCCATTACAGATTTGCGAAAAACTTTTTAAAGGCACGTTTGTTTCTTCTGCCTTGATCCGAACCATTTGATTGCAGACTGTAAGGCTTGGAAACAGAAAAGAGTGGCTTCCAAGCCCAAAAATGTAGCACTGGTACAGACCTTGCGTAATGCGAGCTCTTAGTGAAGAGAGTTATCAGTCTTTCTTATTTGAAGGCACAGTTTATCTATCTCCCGATTCTATCGTTAAATCAATAACAATCTTGCGTGACACGGGTGCAGCCCAGTCCTTCATATCGGCAGACGTCTTGCCTTTTTCGGCTGACTCATTTACCGGTAACGACATTTTAATTCGTGGAATTAATATGCACTGTGCGAATGTGCCACTTCACAAGGTGTATCTGAAGTCTGACATTGTGAGCGGCCCGGTCAGCTTAGCTGTGCGCCCACAGTTACCTGTTGAGGGGGTTGATCTGATTCTGGGGAATGACCTAGCGGGTGGCACAGTCTTCCCTAGGCCAGTTGTATCCTATAAACCTAGTACTACAAACAAACCTGATTTGGCAGTGAATTTCCCCTCTGCATTTCCCGCTTGTGCCGTTAAAGAAATTTGAGGAGCTGGTGGATCTCTCAAATTCTTTTCTGGTTAAGGATCCTAACTCTGTGGAGTGTGTCCTGTCTATAATTTCTGACCCTGACCTTGCTGTAGCCTCTGAGAAGTTAAGCTCTGAAACGCCACTGAAGGCAAACCGAGAACACTTAGCTACAGCACAAAAAACAGACCCTTCCCTAGCCAAGTGTATATTGGCTACCCATGCATCTGGTTCAGGGGTGGTTTACTTCTGGGAATGTGGATTGTTAATGCGTAGGTGGAAGCCCCAGCAAGAGGAGTTAGGCTGGCAGGAAGTGCGACAGATTGTCTTACCTGCTGGTTATTGGCAACACGTCTTGAAACTTGCCCATGAAAACGCACTGTCTGGTCATGTAGGTATAACAAAAACCTACCAGCGCATTACTAGGTACTTTTTCTGGCCTGGTCTTAAATCAGCAGTGTCCAGATTCTGTAAGTCATGTCATGTATGCCAGATGGCAGGTAAATCCAATCAGAAAATTCCACCAGCACCCCTGTGCCCTATTCCAGCTGTGGGTGACCCGTTCGAACGCTTAATTGTTGACTGTGTTGGACCACTGCCCAAAGCCAAATCAGGACACCAATACATTTTGACCATAATGTGTGCTGCAACTCGCTTCCCTGAGGCTGTTCCAATACGTACTTTGAAAGCCAAGAGTGTTGTGAAAGAATTGTTAAAGTTCTGTACTACTTTTGGATTGCCAAAAGTAATTCAGAGTGACCAAGGGTCAAACTTTACTTCTAGAGTTTTTAAACAGGCTCTCGAAACACTTGGCATAAGTCACCAAATGTCTACTGCATATCACCCTGAGTCCCAAGGGGCACTCGAAAGATTATCAAACCTTGAAAAACCTGCTGCGTTGTTATTGTGTGGAAACTGGGAAAGATTGGGTCGAGGGTCTTCCTTTCCTGATGTTTGCGATAAGAGAGGAAGCCCCAAGAGTCCCTTGGCTTTAGCCCCTCTGAACTGGTGTTTGGCCATACAGTTCGTGGACCTCTAAAGTTGTTAAGTGAACAATTGCTGAATCAAAGTTCTAAATCCGTTCCTGTCGATGATTGTCACTTCTATCCGTGAGAGGTTGCACAAAGCCCAAAGTCTTGCCAAACTTCATCTTTCCACTGCTCAGACTAGGATGAAGGTGCATTTTGACAGGAGGTCTGTATATAGAGACTTTTGCCCTGGCGATCCCGTGTTGGTTCTACTTCCAAACCCCGGTTCTATTTCACATGCAAAATTCTCTGGTCCATACCTGGTTGAAAGGAAGTTAAATGACACCAACTTTCTTATTGCTACTCCTGACAGGAAATGTAAGAGCCGTGTGTGTCATGTAAATAGGCTTAAAAGCTATGTAGACAGAACTCACTCTGAAGTGACTACAGAACAGACTGAGTGTTCTCCGCTGCCTGCCTCTATTGCCACTGTGGGTGTAGTGGCAAATTACTCCTTAGAGGAGGATGGCTTGACGAACAGTGATGTTCCAGTTTTCTCTACTCGTCTGAAGAATTCTGCTATTCTGCAAAATCTTTCACATTTCCTTTCTCATCTGACTGATGAACAGTCTAAAGACGTAATTGAATTACTGTATGCCTTTCCTACCCTGTTTAGTGACGTGCCAGGTAGAACTACTGTGTGTGTTCACGACATTCTTTCAGCTTTCATACTTGAAATTTTGGCTTTCTTTTCTTGTCCTCAGTAATGAGTTCAACCACAGGTAAACCATTTCACCAGAGACAGTATATGGAAGAAAAGTATTTACTTAAAGGGGTCATATGGTGCTTTTTTTCAAATCTGACTTTTTATAAACACTTTTTCCTACCTGGTTAATATAAACACACTCATTCTGGTTCATGAGTTTCAGAGGTTAAATTGATCTCATGAAGTCACTCAACTCCTCTCGTCTCGTTCTTGTCCAGGTCAGGCAGCAGTACAGGAAGTTCTTCAGATGTCTTTGCAGTGGACGAAAACAACACTGAGGACCACATCATCAGTGGAAAATGAGAGAAGTGTCATTATTATACAGTTAAATACATGTACAACTAAAGTAGATACATATTACAGGCAAATCCGTGCTCCTGTCTATAAATAATAGTCATTAACCGGACATCAATTTTAATCAATTTTGATGTTAATCAATTGTGTTTTTGATTGTCTTTTACTATTTGTTTTTTTTTTTCTTGGTAGAGGTCATTGACTCATCCTGTACTTTAGTCTCCTCGAGTGATTTATGTTTGCTTTAATTGTCTCTATTATTGTACAAGAATATTTAGTGTGATTTTGTAATTATTTTCTTGATATTAATCATTAAGGGAAAAAAAAATCTATGAATGCTTCTTTTCAGTTTTTCAGCATTATTGAGTTCTTAGTAAATATGTACAATGATTGGTAGATTTTAATCAAAATCATGTCTTCTTACACATGTATGGTGATGATAATATTATCACAGTCAAGGGTTTAATAATAAACATGCTTACATATTCATCACAAGTGTTACGATCCTGTTTTGTAATTAATCTAGGGGAATTGTGGAATACGTAACAAAATGAAAGGAAAGTCCACATTGAGCCTCTCATCCCAGTCCTAAAGAACACTGCCAACCACTAAAAGATCCACTACAAATTCAATTTATTACATAAAGGAACAACAGAAACAAAGCAAAAAGGCTTCAGGAGGGGGCATAGCCAAAATAACAAAGAAAACAGTATCTTACTCAATTTTAAATCTAACTTACCTAACATAGGGGAAAATAAAAATAACAAAAAGACAATAACACTTCCTTAACTACCTAACTTACCCCAAAACAGGAGAAAAAGAATTAACTTAAGAAACATACTATATTGTCCATGGAAGGCGTAGGACCATAAAATGGTCGTCCAATCAAAATGTTCGGTCCAAAAATACCTGCTGTTTGGAATCACTCAGTAATAATTCCTGTAGGAAAACCTGGTAAGGATAAAACAGAAGTTAAAAGTTATAGACCAATAGCTTTGACATCTAACCTTTGCAAACTCACGGAGAAAACCATAACTAAAAGATTAGTATACGAAATAGAAAAAAAGAGGAATTTTCTCCCCTTATCAGAGCGGTTTTCGTAAAGGACGAACAACTATGGATCCTATTATTTGTTTGGAGAATGAAATACGGAAAACGCATGTAAATGAAGAGTTTGTCTTGGCAACATTTTTTGACATGGAAAAGGCATACGATATGTTATGGAAGGAGGGGCCATTGATTAAATTAAATAAAATGGGAATGGGTGGTAAGATGTTCAATTGGATTAGAGACTTTTTAAAAGAAAAAAACTATTGAGGTCAGAATAGGAGTGGAATCATCAAACACCTACTTAATAAATGGTACACCCCAGGGGAGTGTATGTAGCCCAGTATTGTTTAATATAATTATTGATGATGTTTTTTATTGAGTTGAACAGAGAATGAGTAAAGCCTTATATGCAGATGATGGGGCATTATGGGTGAGGGGTCGTGACATTGGTATAATGGAGGCAAGAATGCAGAAAGCAATAGATCAGGTTGGAAATTTGTCATATAAGTGGGGCTTTCGTGTATCTGTGGAAAAGATGCAATATATATGTTTCACTAAAAAGAAGGTAAATCCTAGACTAGATATCAAACTGTATAGACAGTCACTCAAGCAAGAAAGGGTTATACGCTATTTAGGGGTATGGTTCGATACTAAACTTACTTTTAAAATCCATATTCAAAAAATTATAGATAAGTGCAAGAGAGGAATACATATACAAAAATGTTTATCAGGATATAGATGGGGTGCATCAGGTACATCTATGAAACAAATTTATATAGCCTTAATTCGCTCCGTTTTTGATTATGGGTGTATAGTGTATAATTCTGCAGCTAAAACTATACTGACAGTTTTGGACAGGGTGCAGGCTATGGCCCTGCGGTTGTGTTGTGGAGCTTTCAAAATGTCACCTGTAGCCTCAATACAAGTAGAAGTAGGAGAGATGCCATTAAAGATTAGACGGCTCTAACTAACAATGTCTACTGGACAAATCTGCATGGGCATGATACAACACATCCTGCAAAGAAGGTACTTGAAAATGTTGGCAGTAGTAGCCCAGTATTGTTTAATATAATTATTGATGATGTTTTTTATTGAGTTGAACAGAGAATGAGTAAAGCCTTATATGCAGATGATGGGGCATTATGGGTGAGGGGTCGTGACATTGGTATAATGGAGGCAAGAATGCAGAAAGCAATAGATCAGGTTGGAAATTTGTCATATAAGTGGGGCTTTCGTGTATCTGTGGAAAAGATGCAATATATATGTTTCACTAAAAAGAAGGTAAATCCTAGACTAGATATCAAACTGTATAGACAGCCACTCAAGCAAGAAAGGGTTATACGCTATTTAGGGGTATGGTTCGATACTAAACGTACTTTTAAAATCCATATTCAAAAAATTATAGATAAGTGCAAGAGAGGAATACATATACAAAAATGTTTATCAGGATATAGATGGGGTGCATCAGGTACATCTATGAAACAAATTTATATAGCCTTAATTCGCTCCGTTTTTGATTATGGGTGTATAGTGTATAATTCTGCAGCTAAAACTATACTGACAGTTTTGGACAGGGTGCAGGCTATGGCCCTGCGGTTGTGTTGTGGAGCTTTCAAAATGTCACCTGTAGCCTCAATACAAGTAGAAGTAGGAGAGATGCCATTAAAGATTAGACGGCTCTAACTAACAATGTCTACTGGACAAATCTGCATGGGCATGATACAACACATCCTGCAAAGAAGGTACTTGAAAATGTTGGCAGTATGGCCGAATCAATATTAGTAGCTTTGGATGGAGGAGGGGGGGCCAGCTAGTTACTGTAGGTGAAACATCTACACTAAAACATTGCATTGCAAACTAATGGTAAAATACTGGCAACACTGTTGCAGTAATTAACTGTTAATTGTGTAGTTACTTACTGTAGTCTAGTTTACAGTATTTTACTGTAAAAAATACCATGGATTAAATTAAAACTCTTCATTTCTAGAAACCAACTTCCTCAAATTAGCCAACTGCCAATTCAGTTTATAAACGAATATTTTTTAACGTGAACATATTAATACTTTGAACATATTTCACTTGAAATAATATATCTCAAAGTAAAAATAACTGAATGAAACATAACCATCAAAATATCCAAATTAAATTTATTGCAGATAACAGCTAGTTAACCTAAGCACCTATGCATGTGCGATTGGAGGTAGCGAAGAGATTTTCACTGCATCAGCAACTACACAGCTACTGCGTTTAAACAAACAACATGAATCATATTTTCAGGGTTTCTTCGGCTTCTTCTGGATTGAAGCACAGGCTCTACTCTTCAGCACAACGGTAACCTCACAAACCTCAGACAACCAGAAACTCTTTAAATCCCAACAGAACATTAAACACTAACAGATCTCTCCTATAGGAAGTTCAGAAAGGTGCAGTGCTGCCAGTGTATTACTGTTTTACAGTTTGTTTGCCATAAAATTAATTAACAGTTTATTACCGTTAAAATACATTTTGTGGGTGTATCTTTTTATCTTACACATTTAACCCTTTCAACCCCACAGGAAAATCCTGCAGTATCCACACTACAAAGAGAAAAAGTAACACTGAAGCAGGGTTCCAGTGAGATAATTAAGTGAATATGTAAGTAATTGCTGAGTATTAGTGATGAACACCTGCTGTTAACAAGCAGAATCACTGAAGTAAAGAGGAACAAGAACAGAACACTGAAAAGAGACGAGCAGAAACACAAGAACTACAACTGACTTCCAGCCATTACACATTGTTACACTGATTACTCACCAGTTTGACTTTATTTCTGTCATAGGTCTACAGAAGCTCTTATTGAGAATTAGCAGAGTTTCAGATGTTTGTGTTTTATTGAAAATGTTTGGTCTGAATTACTGTTTTGGTGGTCAGTGTTTGCTTCAGTTGGACTCCTGACCCTTGAATTTTTAATATCAGTTATTTCTCTGGCTGTTCTAATCGTGTGTTTACAAAGCACATTTGTTACAGCAAAAACACCCAGCATGCATTGCGGCATGAAACGTCTGTCACCATTGTTGAGATTCCTGTGTTGATTGTTGATGTCTGTGAGTATCTAAGTGAAGCTGGAATTCAAAACTTTAAAAAAAAAATCTTGTAAATTAATGATTATTGAAACAATGTTCAATCAATAGCCTTGAACAACATTAAAACACCCATTAAACTAAATTAAACATCAAACGAGGTCAGAGATTCAGATAAGTCCACCATAACTCTAGCATCATCATAATATATTCAATATCCTTTGACCCAGTTCATCTCATACCATAAGAAATGTGCTTTTTGAACACACAGTTACAGCAGACAGAAAATGTCTCATTGTAAGCGTTAAGGTTCAAGGGCACAACTAAAGCAAACACTGATCTCCGTAACGGTAACTACAAACTTTATTATTTTCAATAAAACTGTTGTGATTTTCAACACAACTAAACTGGTTTCACACTCACTGTGAAAGGGTCTTAAAGCTGAAATTGGAAGTCAGTTGTTGTTCTTGTGTGTCTGCTTGTTTCTCTTTTTTCTGTTCTTGTTTCTCTGTCCTTCAGTAGGCGCGTTTCCATTACAGATTTGCGCAAAACTTTGGCGATATTTTATAAATGTCGATAAAAAAGTATTGCGAAATGACGGCGTTTCCATTAACCAATGTTATTAGACTTAAACGTAACCTTTTGCCTCTCGCGATTTTCAATAAAACTAAACTGGTTTCACACTCAGTGTGGAAGGGTGTTAAAGCTGAAGCTGGAAGTCAGTTGTTGTTCTTGTGTTTCTGCCTGTTTTTTTTCTGTTCTTGTTTCTCTGTCCTTCAGTGATTCTGCTTGTTATCATCAGGTGTTCATCAGTGTCTGAATTCACTCACTTTCTTTCATTCACTCGGTCAAGTAAACTAATGTAAGGAATAGTGAATGAGGGTATAGGGTGTGATTTTGAACACAACCTCTGAGTGCCTACTTTGAGCTCTGTTAATTCACAGTATATTCCTGTAGGCTGCTTTCAAAATTACCAATATTACCCAGAATGCATTGTT